ATTCGTGCCTCCTGCCTTGTATATGTATAATGCATTGTATTAGGTCAAGTTTTGGACTTTGAATCTTTGTAAATAAATGCTTGAAGATATGGCTTGATCCTCCATTAAAATCTTTCCAATTAAGTCCAAAAACCAATATTTTGTGCATGATATGGCTTGATACGAGTTTGATCATGTCCATGATGACAATTAAAGCCTGTACCAATCAAAAAGATACCAAGTGATCAATATTTGGATTTTATTTGGATTTAAATTGATTTAAAATGAATTAATTCAATAAAAATCAAATAAAATAGAAAAATTAATAAATGGACACAATACTGAAGATAGCACACGTGTGTGGTGTGATAAGATCAAATCAAGTGGAAAAAAGATGGGCCCTTTTGACAAAATTTGAAGTTTTGGGGATAGTTGACTTTTGGCAATTTTGGAAAAATGCCCAACTTCAACAATGCATAACTTCTTCAATTTTAAACTTTTGGAAGTGTTATTGGACTTTTTAGAAACCTTGAGATGTCCTCTAACCAACCCTTTTGGTATCATCTCATTTTGATATTCCATTATCAAGTTATAAGGTTTGGAAAAAAAGGTGTTTTTGTTGACTTTCAAAAATGACCTATAATGTCCAAATTTGTAACTTTTTGTGAGTGCATTTCTTGATCTTGGGGTATGAAGATGGATTGTAGGAAATTGCATCCTATTAAAAATGAGCTTTGGATGGGTCATTTATCATAAAGTATGAGAAAGTTATGCTTGATCAAAGTTGAGTTGACTTTTCCTGCAAAACCCTAATTTATCAACTTTTAAGTCTTGATGAATTTTGAGCAATCCTTGATGAATCATGATCAAACCTTGATAAAATGATGAAATATCCTTAAAAATGAGAATGTTGACAAAAAATCTTGAAGTTTGACTGTTTATAGGTCACAGTTGACTTTTGCCATAGCACAATCGATTTTTGGACCTCTTGAGCAATTGACTGACCAAACTTCCTCTGCAAGGCTTGAAATTTGACATGGATGAACTTGAGAACATATTAGGACATTGGGGAGCACTTAAGGTCATTTGGATGTAAGGACCTTGATGCGGCACAAAACTCTAATTTTGAATTGACTGCCTTAGGAGATAACTTGACTGTCCAACTCTTGAGCAATCTTGAGCCACTTGGAGACTATTCTTGCAATGTTTTGAGAAATATGGGAGGACAAATTTTGGGGTACAATAATAGGCGACCTCAGGACCGAGACCGGGTATCTCCACAGCGCTCCATGCGAACAGATCTGCATTCTCCCTCAAGAAGGCCTTGATATGTTTTCTCGCTAAGTCGGGGAGTCTGGTGCTAATCTTCACCCCTCTGCTCGAGTCTTCACCGAGAGGGACGAGCTCAAAGTCCCCATCCGGAATTGGTCGGAGGAGCACCTGCTTGCTGTTGGAGGGTTCGTCTTGGTCGAAGCGAGTGTCTAATGAGATCGAATCGACCTTTGAAGGGCCCCTCTGTACCTTTGCTCTGATGGGTTGTGGCTCTGACTATTGAGGCTCTGGTCGCGCGGTTGCAGATTTCTTGGTGGGCCGTGCCCTAGTGTTGACTGTGTTGTGTCCCTTGGCCGCCGCGTTGAAGCATCTTCGGGCAGCTGCTAGGTCGCCTTGAATGGTGGCGACCAGTGCCCTCTTGATGAGAACTTTATCTTCAGATGGACGGTGGAGGGCACAACGGTCAACTCTGCCAGTGTTGGCCTCCCAAGGATGCATTTGTAGAGGGATGGACATTCGATGACGAGGAAGCGCACCTTGACCTGCCTGGTAGCAGTATCTTCGCCGAAGGTGACCATAAGCTCCATGTACCCCTACAGCTTGGAGGTCGAGCCATTAAAGCCCTGCAAATCTGACCCCAGGTATGGTGAAAGGTGAGAGTCATCGAGCTGCAGGGTTCTGAACAACTGGCTGTACATCACATCGACGAAACTTCCCTCGTTGACTAGGACGCGATGGATGTCGAAGTTGGCCATTCTCGCCCGTATCAGAAGAGGGATGGCTGGATTCCCCCCCCCCCCCCCCCGGGAAGCTCCTCGAGGTAAAAGGTGATCGAATCTGATCTGCCTTTCACCCTCTCAAAGGTCACCGTTTGGGGGGGAGCCGCGTCGACCAGTTCGTCCAGCTTCCTTTTTGTTGAATTTGTGGTCAAATCATTAAACCCTCCACCAATGATGACCATGGCGGAGGGGAAGTTTCCCCCCCCCCCCCCCCCCCCCCGCTGTGCATAGACAGAGGCTCTTGTATATGTTCGGGGACGTAAAAGTCCTCCGGTCTCGTGACGAAGAATGCGGTTTGGATGGGGACCGACTCGTCAGATGGTCGGGCATTCTCCTATACTTCCCTTGTTTCACAGGAATCTCGATGAGGGGAATCGCCGCACCGATATTTCCTGTCTCCCCCCTTTTATGAGGGTCTTGATGGCGTCCTTGAGATGGACACAATCTTCAGTCAAGTGCCCATGGCTCCGGTGATACTGGCAGTACTTGCTTCGATCTACCCCGGGTTTAGCAGGAGCAGGGTGAGGACGCTTGACGCCTCCGTCCTTGAAATCTGTATTCGCGCACTTTGTTAAGATGTGTTCGTGGGAAGCCGTTAGCAGAGTGTACTCAGTGAACCTCCCCAAGGGTCCCTTTGTTCTCGGGCGTCTCGGGGTTTGTCGTCCCTTATCTTCTCGCCAGTTTGTCGAGGAGGGGCGGTGTCTTGTCGCGGATAACTGGTAGATCCACGATTCCTGGGATCTTGGGCTCTGTTGGCCGCTTCTCTCTCCTCGTAGTCCATGTAGGCTCTGGCCTTCTCGAGGGGGGCATCGAATGTCCGGGGTGGTTTGATGCCTACGGCCTTTCTGAATTTTGTTCCAAGGAGGAGTCCCCTCTCGAGCAGGTATCTCTTCATGTGGTCCGTACAAGGGACCTGGATGGCTTCCCGGTTGAACCGATCAATAAATTCCCTCAGGGTCTCATCGTGTCTCTAGACGATGGCCTCGAGGGCTGCTTCGGTCTTCGGGTGTCGTCACGAAGCGGTGAATGAACTGATGAATTAGTTCTTCAGATTTTGCCAAGAGGTAATTGACCCCGGGGCGAGACCTTTGTACCAGTCCATCACAGCTTTCCTCAGAGTCGTGGGGAACAACCGGCATTTGATCGATCCTCCGACATTGTGATATTGTAGCATGGCTTTAAACCCGTCTATATGATCGACCGAGTCGGCGATGCTGTCGTATTCCTTTAGGTGGGGAGGCTTCTCCATGCCCGAGGGAATGGGTGCCTCCATGATAGCTTGTGATAAGGGACCGCGGGGGTCGTCCTCGTCACTCCGTTCGGACGAGCGAGACGGAGATCTGACGTAGTGGCGGTTACGGTGGCCCTGATCGCGCGGAGCGGTCCTCGCGCAGTATGACCGTTCGTGGTTTCCCCTGTTTCTGTCTCCAGAGGGTCTTCGTTCTTGACGCGAGGGACCATGATCGCGCCTTCCCGTATCAATGGGCTGGTCCCTTTCTAACGCAGGCCGTCGCCCGATTGGTCGGGGAGAAAGGCTTCCAGAGATGTTCCGACTACGTCTCTACGGGGGAGATTGGGGATGTTCCTCTGCTTGTCGAGGAGGAGGAGATTGAGGTCTCCTGTGTCTTCTTGGGGGTCTCCAATCGTCTTCGAGCGTCCTCAATCTTTCTCCCTGGGCGAAGATCAGGTAGTTGGTCTGATTTATCGCCGCGAACAGTGTCCTGGTCGTGGCGTCTGCCCCGACGGGAACGGGGACCTCATGGAACTGGACGTGTTGGTAGTTCAGGGGAGGTGGCCGATCATCTTCAAGTCGACGAGGCAGTGATGATGATGAAGCAGTTGCTCCGTCTCTATAGTCAGAAGGCCCATGCATATTAACGTCGGGGGATGTGTTATGGTCGGCGGTACCGGCGTTGTCGAGGCCGGTATTATTGTCGGTTGTGTTGTTGTTGACGTCGATGATACATATGTTCATGTTCTATGGAGTATGGTCAGCCATGAGAGTCAGGGATTGTTTAGCTTTGGTCTCAAGTAAATAGAAGACGGGGAAGCAAGTTTCCCACAGACGGCGCCACTGATCTTACCGGATCAGAAATGGACCGTCACAGCTAGCTTAAACAGAAGTTGAATGAGATGGGGGATATCTGCAAGACACTCCGATGGAAAAGTAAGTTGCGGAATGAGCAAGCAAGTATGAGTTCAGAGAGATATTGAATTGAATACCTGACCCTCTTAGGAGAGAGGGTATTTATAGCCCCCAGCACTAGGCCAAGGTTCTCACTATTGGGTCACGTTGAGACCCAATAACAGGAACTGCCAGAGCTTATGTGTGTATGGAGTCCAGCAAGTGGACTGTCGCTAGTCAACTGCTACGCGAGAACAGGGTTGGACCCGTGATTTTCGGAGGACAGTTTAAGATGACTATCGTGGGATCGTGGGCCACGTCCTCCAACGATCGGGTGGGGAGTTGTCCAACGGTCCCTAACTTGGACTGTTTTTGAGCTTTCCGTTCGAAGGACAAGTGTAGGCCTAATCCAGATCAATTTTTAAAGCCAATAAACATATAAGTTCTTATTTTTAAATAAAAAAATTTAGTTTTCTGAATAAAAAAATTAGTTTTTAAAAAAAAATAGTTTTTAAAATAAATTATAACAAACTATATTTTTTTAGTGTATATTAATTTTATTGAGTTTAATAGGATATGTACTTTCGGTCTAAATTTTTTTTTACATGATCATCTGATTAGAAATCAACAAACTACCAAATCATAAAATTTATTTGAAATTATTACCTATTTTCTCTTAATCGTCGTTCATTATTACCTATTTTCTCATCTGAATAGTCATATAATAATATATTTGATTTCATTAGCCATACCTGAAAAATCGATAATTTAACTGCAACGGAATTAAATTAATTGATTTCATCCGCTTGAGAATCCTAAACTTTCTAACCGTCTAACCACCGATAATGGCGGCCACGCCACCTGTCCCGTCTTTTCCGGAAACAACCAAATCTCTCAATCGACTCCTACTCTCTCACTCTCCACGTCTTCTCTCTTCCAATTTCCGTTTCAGTTTCAGCGCAAAGTGCAGCTTCGAGAATCATCGAAATTCCACAATTGAACATTTCTCAATCATGAATAGAGATTCAATTCACAACAACAGTACCAATTCTTCATTTTCTTCTTCGTTGGTCTCTGCTTCTTCTTCAGGCTCTCAACTCAATTCGAAGAACTCGAAGAAGGTTGTTCTCTTTTATTCTGCTGAAACGAAATCGCTAGCTTACAATATTGCCTCTGAATCTGATGCAATTGAACTCCGATCCATCTCTTGGGGGTTCGTAATCCTTCATTTTCTTACTCTTTTTCATTCACATTGTTTTCTTACTCTTAGGACCTATTTAGATTAACAGTTTATTTGGAGTTTATATCACAAATGTTTATCAAAATAAACACTTATGAAAAAGCTTGCATAAGCTACTTTTTAACAAAAGATAAAATAAATTTAAATTATTTTTGCTATACATTGTTTTCATAAGTTATCTTTGAGAACTTATAGAATAAGCTCAAAAAAGTTTATGAGTATTGCTATAAATTGTTTCAATAAGCTATTCCAAACGGTGTCACAAAAGCATAAGATAAACTCAAATATGCCAATTCAAACAGAGGATAATATGTAATTGGAACGGTTGAGTTTACAATTTAAGATACTACATTATGAATAATAACCATGATAACAGTAGCAGCCATGTAAATGCTTTTGCGATTCGTTCGGTGCAAGTGTTGCGATACTGATTGCGGTCATCACAGTGTGAATCAACAACAGTTTCTTTTTCGTCATAAAAACAAATTGAATAACGGTATTTGAATCAGCACCTTCCAATACCGTTTTGTCGCGGCTGTTTTTGCGGTAACGAACCGTTTTTTAAATCCTTACTAGAGATTGAGATTTATTGAAATGCTGTTGCTATGGTACATTGGCTCTGTTTTTTTTAGCTTGTTGGTGTTTTTCAGTATAACTTGTTTAATGGTTTCACTGGAATGCTTTATGAAATTGAAAACTTCAGCAAGTTTCCTGACGGCTTCCCCAACATTTTCATTCCCAATGCTCAAGGCATCCGTGGACAGCATGTGGCTTTTTTGGCTTCATTCAGTTCTCCAGCTGTGATTTTTGAGCAGATTCCTGTCATTTATGCATTGCCAAAACTGTTTGTAGCCTCATTTACACTCGTGCTTCCGTTTTTCCCAACCGGAACTTCTGAAAGAATGGAGGATGAAGGTGATATCGCCACCGCTTTTACTTTGGCAAGGCTTTTGTCAAACATACCGATTTCTAGAGGAGGACCAACAAGTTTGGTCACATTTGACATTCATGCTTTGCAGGTGTGCTATTGGTAGAGTTGATTTCTACAGTTGTTCTAGGTGTGTTTGGGTGAATGTTTGTCATTTGTGATTTTGAATGAAATAATGATTTAGAACTTGGTGTAAATTTTTATTCCTAACACAAAACTACCCCCTCCGTTCCTTTTTAAGTGTCGTTTTAGAATAATTTTTTTGTTCCTATTTAAGTGTCATTTTTATAATTTAATGTTATAAATTGTCAATTACACCCTTACATTTTCAATAACTCCACTTCACATTTTCTATTAAATTTATTATTTTCTCAATTAGTTATTGGAAAATGAGAGAGAGTGTATGGTTGAGTTTATTTGAAAAGAGAAAATAAATGAGGATATAATAGGAAAAATAACTCTAACAATCCAATATCTTAGTTGAAGAACTTTATGCTAAAATGAAACTTGAAAAGAAACGGAGTGAGTACATTTTATCGTTGCTAATGAAACAAAGTTTCATAGTCAAAATCAATTTTTATTCAACAAAACAATGTTTGAATTTTTTCCTTCCCGAAACAAATACTGATAATTTCCCGTGAAATCAAACACAGGCTTTGTTGCTCCATATGTCATTCTTTATATCATGAAATTCCTGCCCTTACTTATTTGATTATTTGTGTTAATTCAGGAGAGATTCTACTTTGGTGACAACATTTTACCTTGCTTTGAGAGTGGGATACCATTGCTTAAAAGAAGGCTCCAAGATCTGCCAGATTCTGACAATGTTAGGCTTTCACTTATACTTAACTCTTCCCTTTGTGGCTGTGCTGTTTATTTTTTTTTTCAAATACTGTTCTGATTTTCCCTTGCCTACTTGTTGTTATGTAAAATACTTTGATCTTATAATTTCGCTCCAATCAACTAAGCAAATATCCCTTTGTTTAAATATTGCATCTAGTATTTTCCCTGTTAGTTGGCACTCAATACTCTTGATTAATCTTCTATAGTTTCAACTTAGACTGTAACAAGGTTATATTTTTTAGATATCGATTGAAAAATTGAATGAGGTTGATTACTTTCACATTATCTCATATCAATGGAAATTCTGATTTTCTTGTTTCAGATATCAGTTGCTTTTCCTGATGACGGGGCCTGGAAACGGTTTCATAAGCAATTGCAGCATTTTCCAACGGTATTTCATAGTTTTAATCTAACAATGTTTCCCAAATTTTGTTGAAGTCACTGGTACTAGTCTAGAAGCTACCAGTGTGAAATTGTACTAACTTGTAGTGACTGTTCTGTCTGATAGTACTTACACAATGCATATGCAGGTAGTTTGTGCAAAGGTCCGTGAAGGAGATAAACGAATAGTTCGAATTAAAGAGGGAGATCCTAAGGGTCGGCATATTGTGATTGTTGATGATTTGGTTCAGTCGGGTGGAACCCTGATAGAATGCCAGGTATGAAACATCACTGTAAACCAATTTCTACATGAGTAGAAAATTGGAAATCTCATACTTATAATAGAAAACGCTCTTCCTGTTTTTTCTCGGTAACCCGTAGTTTTGTCATTTTCCAGAAAGTTTTGGCAGCTCATGGAGCAGCAAAGATAAGTGCTTATGTGACTCATGGCATTTTTCCAAATAAATCATGGGAACGTTTTGGGCATGATAACGGGGGTAATGTTTGCTCTCCTTTGTTCGTTAATCCATTTTGATTAGGAAACATGTTAACCTAATTTTTTACATTATTTCTAACATTCTGTGTGCAGGGAGTCCGGAAAGTGCACTCACCTACTTCTGGATCACAGACTCATGCCCCTTAACAGTGAAGGAGGTGATGCATAGGGCACCATTTGAGGTTCTCAGCCTAGCAAGTTCTATATCAGCCAGTCTCCAAATCTGATGGGAATGTAATATTATAATTTTCATCAAAATAAAATGGACACAAGAAGAGACATGGTTAAGGTTAGTAGTAGAAATAATAGTGAGATTTTAGTTGGACTCTTTTAATTTGCGGCTTATAGGCATCTAGAACTTCCAATTGAATAAAAGCCGGTTTATTTTGGTTTATTCTTGTTGCTGTTTCCCCTCCCAGAAATAAAACAGTTTGATTAAAATGATTTATAATATATTTTTTCTATATTACTTGCTGTAAATACTTGAAAAACATTTTTCAATGAAAAATTAAACAAGAAAAAGAAATCATGTATCATTAATATATCACACTATCATAACAAAAAAAAAAGAAAAAGAAATTAAATCAAACATCATGACAGTTTTCACATACATAGGTTAATGAACAACACACATTTAGTTATTAGTGGCCCTACAAGTCGTCCTCACTTCACCATCATTTCCAGTAAGAACATTTAAAGCACCCATCTTATCCATAGCATCAGCAAATCTCTTTTGCCACAAACCATTCTCAGCCGCCATCTTCGCAACAATAGGAATTGTTCTAGGATCATTAATCAAATTAGAGTCCGTAACCAAGACCGTCTTGTTTCTTGTCACCATATTCTTGTAAAACAAGTTATCAAGCTTTGTTGGTGTCTCATCGAAATTCACAGTTGGGTTTCTAAATAGCTGTGTCCCAGCATTCTTACAGATACCTTGAAACTCCTGAACAACTGGATCTGTTAGTGTAGGGTCAGGCTTCCTCGTGTTTTCGTAATTAAAAATCCTTTCCATAAAAACATCACAATGAGCCGAACCAATTGAATGTGCTCCGAGTAAGATAACCATTTCTTCAATTGTGAAACCTTTCTTTATAAAGAGTGAAACCATTTTTTCCATTGACCAATTAGGCTGTGGGAGATTGTCGTCTTCCACGAGGGATGCGAGAGAAACGAGCGAATCTCTGCGGCCGCCAAGAGGTTCTCTACGAGGTAAACCGGCAAGGTACATTCCTTCATTGATTGAGAATGCTAATGTGTCTGAGCATGACACTATTCCTGGACATTGTTCTTCTAGCTTTTCTTTTATGTCATCAACTGTGTCAGCTCCTTTGAGAAGTTGACCATTGAACATAGAACTTTTCTCTACTTTGTCTCCTGTTGGTGAGTAGTCTAGCAAGACGGATGCATCACATCCCTGTTTTTTTCATCATAACCAAGCATGATTTTAGAACATAGATCATAGTGTGGTTTAACATTTTTTCTCACAGTAATGAACATACAAAATATAATGATGGTTGGAGTATGGAAAAGCAAAGCTTACAACAACGAAACAGTCATGAAATTGAAGACGAAGGAGTTGAGCAACTGCCTCTGGATTAATCTTAACACTTTCAGCAAGAGCTTCAGCAACGATTTTCTCAGCATTGGGACAGGTTTGGCTATAGAATCCTACCTTAAGTTTAGCTCTACCATCAGCCGCAGCATTTGCAATTAGCTTTTCATCTTCAAACAACTTTTCATTTCCCTTTCCATCGCCAAACTTTGCATTTCCCTTTTCTTCACCAAATACTGGTAGTGGTTGGACTTGTTGTTTATCATCTTGTGCATCATCATTATTTCCAAAATGAAATCCCCAGTCAAGTCCAAATGGAAAAGCTATAGAAGGAACAATAACCAAGTTAAACAAGAGAAGTGTCACAAGTATGATCCGTGCCATTTTCATTTTAAATATTGAAATGGATGTTCAAGGTTTACACCGAAGAAGAACAAAGGTAATAGAACCTTTATATAATCAAATGCGTTTGTTATTATTATCTATAGACAGGTTTCTAATAGTTTGATTGAGGTGGTAGCCATAGCCAGCTAATAGTTTATAGATGTTGGTTATATATAGTGGGTCCTAAATTTTAGTGGTTGTTTTCTTATCCCTTGGAATAGGAAACCAAGTTTAGCAACTCATGCAGCTTTCTAAACCTGTGTTTTTTTAGATATCTTAACGAAAATATAGTTTAAAATATATACATGATATTGTAATAATGGATCTAAATATTTGTTGCAGTGGAGGCAATAAATAGTTATGATATTTTTGTAAAAGAAAAATATTGGATTAAAGGCGCAAATTAATTTTGAGAAAAACTAAAGACATTTTGGGGCGGATGCATATTGGGACTAGAGCCCCATAAAAAAATAAGGATTTAATTTGATAAATTAATTAATTTTTCTAAGCTCCCATGAAATTAATTATTTTTTCTAAGCTCCCATGAAATTAATTATACATATTAAGGTAAATTTATTCATCTATCATAAATTTAAATTTTTACGATTCCAATTTCTTTTATGGACAATTTAATATACACTTCAAAAAATATTTAAGAATATACCTTTATCACATTTAATAAAAAATCAATATTATGATAAGAGTTAAGATAAATATTTTTTAAAATTTTATATAAAAATAATAAATCTATTTTAGACCGACTTCATAATAAACAACTCGTTTTTTTAATAGATTTTTCTATTCTATAATCGAAATCCTGCCCACTATCTATTAATTATATTTTTCTTAATATCTTAAATATCCCCAAAGCAATTTTTTTTCACTTCTTCTTATTACTTTCCCTTTTAATAATTTTTCTACTCACAATTAGTATTTAAAATTTTTATTTTTATTTTAATGTTTTTATTTTTGTTTTAAATTTCTTTTCAACAACTTTTAAGTTTGTAGAAATGATATTTTATACTATCTGTTTTGTATTTTAATAAGAAATATTTTTTAATGTTAGTTTGATGGCAAATGACAATTGCATTAGTGAAAAATCTTCTTTATCATTATCCTCTGAAGAATGACATGTGCAATCATATGAAAGACAAACAAAGTGATATATTTAAGAGGAAAAATACACTAAGAGTGCAAAATAAATTTACACGGTTAACCATCGCTACCATATATTTGGTCAAATTACATTGATATTTTTAAATTAATTATAATTATAAATTTTTATTGGATAACGATATAAAATTATTTTATATTGTTGATGTACTTTTAAACTCTATTTTTAATAGTGTTTATGAAAAAAAACATTGAATATCCTAAAGTATGAAAATTTAAAAAGAACTATTCTAATTTATATAAGTCATAAATATATGGAGAAAACTTGTGTACAATTTGTTCTTAATATTTTTCAAAATGAAAGTGTATAATTTTTTTATATATATTTATTTATTTTTATATTTTTATTATTTAAAAGATATTTAAGCACACTTATCATATTTTCGTTGAAAAGTGGTAAAAATTACACTTATAGAATTATAAGTAAATTTTCTTCTTTATATATAAATATTTGTAATATTTTTTGTTAGTTAACATATATAAATTATTTTTTTAGTTCCATCAAAGAATTTTTTTAATCTGCTGAAAATGTTTCAAAGAAAATCTCACAAGAATTTTTGTAAGCAAGTTTTTTTTGTTTGAATCTTATTAATGTTAATGAGTAATACGAATATGTACCTATTTATTTAAATGTTTTTTTTTAAATTTATTAACATATTTGTGCATCTATACAGATAAATTTATTTAATACGGTATAATTATATTTAAATATACGTGTAAATTTAAAATAGATTATTTGATTGTAAAATAATCAATATTAATATAAATTTAATTGTATATGTAAAGCCTTGTAGAGGATCTAAAGTCCTTTAGAGGATTGTTAATTGGATTCTCCAAAGAACATGTACATGTAAAGGGATATGTCACCTTGAGGACCACCTTTGGAGAAGAGGATCAAGTCAAGGAGACAAATATTTGGTATCTCGTTATCGGTTCTCTCTCATCATATATTATGATTAATCGGTTGGACGCTGCCTTATCTACTCTATTTATGTATGAAATTCCCTCTTCTCACCGGGCAAGTGAGAGTTATACAAGGAGATTAAAAGATCTCTAGGAAGTGTTACCAAAAAGTCTTAAGTTGAAGATGATCTGTCTTTCGGGTGGGAAAGCCAGAAGGGTGATTACAGGAATAAAACCACCTGAGAAATTTTGCAAAGGCGAGGACACTTCCTCTCCAACCACTGAAGACATTGATGGTTGAAGGTACGGAAGGGATCTCCTCTGGAGACATCGGCACGACAATAATTTATTTTACAATTATTATTGATTTGATTTACTAACTTTCATAGGCGAGCATTTCATTTCAGCCGATTGTAAAGAACAAATTATTTTGTGGGATGCGCTATTTTCTCTTTGCGCTTTTACATAAGGTGAGGGTTTTTAATGAGGCACCTCGTTCTTGTTATTTAAGAATCCACTGTTTGTTGTTCCTTTCTTTGCAGGAAACTTAAAGATTTAAGAGAAGATCACCAAAAGGAAACTATCATATTTGTTGGATCCTCAATTGGAATCTTTGTCGTCCATTAAGGAGATCATATTCTCCGGATCCTCAAGTGGGATCCTTGCTGCCCATTGAGGCGATCATATTTGTTGTATCCTCAAATGGGATCTTTGTCGCCCATTAAGGTGATCATATTTATTGTATTCTCAAGTGGGATCCTTGCCGTCCATTGGGACGATCAATCACTAGTTCCTCATGTGGGATCCTTTCCGTCCAATAAGGAGATCCATTGCTAGATCTTCTAGTGAGATACTTTCTGCCCATTAAGGCGATCATATTTGTTGATTGTCAAGTGGAATTCTTGCCGTCCATTGAGGCGATCATATTCGGTGGATCCTCAAGTGGGATCCTTTCTACTCATTAAGGAGATCAATTGTTGGATCCTCAAATAGGATCCTTGCTGCCCATTAAGGGGATCAATCATTGGATTCTCAAGTGGGATCCTTTCCGCCAATTGAGGCAATTAATTATTGGATCCTTAAGTGGAATCCTTGTCTCCCAATAAGACGATCATATTTGTTGGATCCTCAAGGGGGATCCTTGCCACCTAATGAGGCCATCAATCATTGGATCCTTAAGTGGGATCCTTTCCTCCTAATGAGGCAATCATATTCGCTAAGCCCTCAAGTGGGATCCTTACCGCCCAATGAGGTGATCATATTGGCTGGATCCTCAAGTGAGATCTTTGCTTCCCATTGAGGCAATCACGTAATAGGATCTCTAAAGAGAGCCCTCTCTGTCACTAGAGACAACCGCAACACCAGATTACTAAAACGAGATCCTTGTTAAGTCTCTTTTCAAGTGATCAAGTTATTGCAAAAATGGATGACAACAACAAACACCTTCAGACAAAGGCTAAAGGGTAAAAATCAAAGATAATTACATGAGAAGAAAATTGTTCTAGACTGGCCCAATGGATAAACTTGGCCCAATTCGCTCATACTTCCAACATGGCCCAAGGACTCTGGCCCAATAACTATGGTCCAGTCAACTGGGACAGATAAGGGACACCTTGCCTTCTGCCACTCGGTCGAGGACACTTGGTTGACTGTACCCCAAGGACAATAGGACCAACGATGCCCTGAATCATGTGCATGCCCGCGTCAGCAACAATCCCTTATTATGTTCGACACGCATGAAGCAGGCAACCAGGAACGCTTTTTACACGACTTCCCATAGATGCACCCTTACTCAGGACAATGACTAGTTACGAGCACGTCTCCTTGTCATAACGACTAGTCACGAGCACGTCTGCCCGTCACAACGGCTAGTTCTTGACAGTTACCTATTTTTGAGGAACCTGATATCTAGGCCCAAAAAAAGAACCAATGGCCAAACACCGGGACACTATATAAACCCTCACACTTGTGAGAGTAAGGTATCCAAGATTCATTCTAAAAAACCCTAATCTCTCTTGTATCTCTTTGCACTCTTTCTTACTTGATCGTCAGAGTTTCTTGCAGGTACACCCCCTCCTCCTCATTGCCAGCTTTGTAGATGAAGATATCAGCCCCCTTCAAGTTTTGATCAATTGATAAGATCAATAGCACCGTCTGTGGGAAAATGTCTTCCTTATCTTTCTTTTCCAGAAACCAAAGATAAAATAAACATCACCAGATTCTGACGACGACCGATCACAATGACGACTAGCTTGTTGGCAAAACTATCTTATCTCCCGTTCGAAAGGTTGATAATGACAACAAATATCCTCACCTCGAGTGTAACACCCCAATTTAATTAGAATTATTTTATTTAAAATAATTAGATAATGCGGTGTATTTTCATGAGTTGATAGATTTTATGATGTGTTTGCTGGTGTTGAGATACTAGATGATGTGATGTGATTGATGTCTTTGTTGGGGACTAGATGTCTTAGAATTATAGGGGTTGAGGTTCTAGGGGTGTATGACTAAATGTGTAGAAACACGGGGGTGTGTAGTATAATATGGATTATTATTATTATTATTACATTATAATATTAGAATTATTATTATTTTATAATAATAATTAAATAATTAATTAATTAGGATAATTATTTTAATATTGGGATATATTAGAGTGAGAAGAAGAGAAAGAGAGGCAGTACGTAGAAACAGAGAAAGAGAAGCGTAGAAGTGAGAAGAGGAGGAAGCACTAGAAAGCTAGGTCAGGAAGTTCATCCATAGGAATCAAGAATCATCATCAATCTAAGATAAGGGTGGAGTTCTAACACTATAATGGATTATATGATGATGGTTTATAGTAGAGTTAGGTTATATAATTGTAGGGTTAAATATAAAAACACCCCCTGCAATATTAACGAGTTCATGTTTTAGCCCCTCGTAAAGTT